TTGGAGAAACATCACTATCTCATCTGGAAGATCAACTCCCACTCGATTAAAGTGATTGTTGTACTCAGAAAATCTGAGCACAAGCTCAACGATTGAGCTTTTCTCCCTTAGTTTGCAAGCCAAGAAAATCGTCGGAGGTCTCATGCCTCTTGACATGGGCACGAGCCTGAAATCCCAATTTCAGCCCTCGAAACATCTCATATGTTCCGCGATGTTTTGAAAACGTCTTTGGTGCCTGTACTCTAAACCATTTAACTGAACTATCACGTAGTTATCAAAACGTGTATGTCAGATGTTTGCAACATCCACAGACTACGTTCGAGGTCCAGCACACCGAGCGGTGCATTAAGGGCATAAGCCTTCTACGAAGCAACGAGGACAATCCTCAGTATACGGACCTAGTCTGCATAATTGCTACTATCAACTTTCAACTAAATTTTCTCTAGGAACATATCTAAAACAGTAGAACTAAAGCGCGAGCTATGACATAATTTGCAAAGATCTTTTGACTATGTTCAGGATAATTAAGTTCATCTCATGAACTCTCACTCAGATAGACATCCCTCTAGTCATCTAAGTGATTACATGATCCGAGTCAACTAGGCCGTGTCCGGTCATCACGTGAGACGGACTAGTCATCATCGGTGAACATCTTCATGTTGATCGTATCCTCCATACGACTCATGCTCGACCTTTCGGTCTCTTGTGTTCCGAGGCCATGACTGTACATGCTAGGCTCGTCAAGTTAACCTCAGTGTTTCGCGTGTGTAAATCTGGCTTACACCCGTTGTATGTGAACGTAAGAATCTATCACACCCGATCATCACATGGTGCTTCGAAACAACGAACTTTCGCAACGGTGCACAGTTAGGGGGAACACTTTCTTGAAATTTTAATGAGGGATCATCTTATTTACTACCGTCGTTCTAAGCAAACAAGATGTATAAACATGATAAACATCACATGCAATCAAATAGTGACATGATATGGCCAATATCATTTTGCTCCTTTTGGTCTCCATCTTCGGGGTCCATGATCATCATCGTCACCGGCATGACACCATGATCTCCATCATCATGATCTCCATCATCGTGTCTTCATGAAGTTGTCTCGCCAACCATTACTTCTACTACTATGGCTACCGGTTAGCAATAAAGTAAAGTAATTACATGGCGTTATTTAATGACACGCAGGTCATACAATAAATTAAGACAACTCCTATGGCTCCTGCCGGTTGTCATACTCATCGACATGCAAGTCGTGATTCCTATTACAAGAACATGATCAATCTCATACATCACATATCATTCATCACATTCTTCTTGGCCATAACACATCACATAGCATACCCTGCAAAAACAAGTTAGACGTCCTCTAATTGTTGTTTGCATGTTTTACGTGGCTGCTATGGGTTTCTAGCAAGAACGTTTCTTACCTACGCAAAAACCACAACGTGATATGTCAATTGCTATTTACCCTTCATAAGGACCCTTTTCATCGAATCCGTTCTGACTAAAGTGGGAGAGACTGGCACCCGCTAGCCACCTTATGCACCAAGTGCATGTCAGTCGGTGGAACCTGTCTCACGTAAGTGTACGTGTAAGGTCGGTCCGGGCCGCTTCATCCCACAATACCGTCGAAACAAGATTGGACTAGTAACGGTAAGCATATTGAACAAAATCAACGCCCAGAACTACTTTGTGTTCTACTCGTGCAAAGAATCTACGCAATAGACCTAGCTCATGATGCCACTGTTGGGGAACGTAGCAGAAATTCAAAAAAATTCCTACGTGTCACCAAGATCTATCTATGGAGAAACCAACAACGAGGGGAAGGAGAGTGCATCTACATACCCTTGTAGATCGCTAAGCGGAAGCGTTCAAGAGAACAAAGTTGAAGGAGTCGTACTTGTCGTGATCCAAATCACCGGAGATCCTAGTGCCGAACGGACGGCACCTCCGCGTTCAACACACGTACAGCCCGGTGACGTCTCACATGCCTTGATCCAGCAAGGAGAGAGGAAGAGGTTGAGGAAGACTCCGTCCAGCAGCAGCACAACGGCGTGGTGGTGGTGGAGGAGCGTGATGATCCAGCAGGGCTTCGCCAAGCACCGCGGGAGAGGAGGAGTACTTGGGAGAGGGGGAGGGCTGCGCCAGAACATGGGGTGCGGCTTCCCTCCCACCCCCCACATATATATAGGGGCAAGGAGAGGGGGCCCGGCCCCCTCAGATCCAATCTGAGGAGGGGGCGGCGGCCAGGGGGTTTGCCTTGCCCCCCCAAGGCAAGGGGGGCGCCCCCTTTAGGGTTTCCCCCTCCCATGCGCATGGGCCTTGGGGGGGGGCTGGTTCCCCTGGCCCATTAAGGCTAGGGCGCCCCCCCTACAACCCATGCTGCTGTATTGGACGTGGTGGAACAATTTCCGGACCTCCGGACCCCTCCGCAATCCCCCGAAACCTTCTGGAAGCTTCCCGGTACAATACCGGAAAAACCCGAACTTTTCCCGGAACCCGAACAACAACTTTCCATATATAAATCTTTACCTCTGGACCATTCCGGAACTCCTCGTGACGTCCGGGATCTCATCCGGGACTCCGAACAACATTCGGTAACCACATACAAACTTCCTTTATAACCCTAGCGTCATCGAACCTTAAGTGTGTAGACCCTACGGGGTTGGGAACCATGCAGACATGACCGAGACGTTCTCCGGTCAATAACCAACAGCGGGATCTGGATACCCATGTTGGCTCCCACATGTTCCACGATGATCTCATCGGATGAACCACGATGTCAAGGACTCAATCAATCCCGTATACAATTCCCTTTGTCTAACGGTATTGTACTTGCCCGAGATTCGATCGTCGGTATACCGATACCTTGTTCAATCTCGTTACCGACAAGTCTCTTTACTCGTTCCGTAACACATCATCCTGCGATCAACTCTTTGATCACATTGTGCACATTATGATGATGTCCTACCGAGTGGGCCCAGAGATACCTCTCCGTCACACGGAGTGACAAATCCCAGTCTCGATTCGTGCCAACCCAACAGACACTTTCGAAGATACCTGTAGTGCACCTTTATAGCCACCCAGTTACGTTGTGACGTTTGGTACACCCAAAGCATTCCTACGGTATCCGGGAGTTGCACAATCTCATGGTCTAAGGAAAAGATACTTGACATTAGAAAAGCTTTAGCATACGAACTACACGATCTCTGTGCTAGGCTTAGGATTGGGTCTTGTCTATCACATCATTCTTCTAATGATGTGATCCCGATATCAACGACATCCAATGTCCATGGTCAGGAAACCATAACCATCTATTGATCAACGAGCTAGTCAACTAGAGGCTTACTAGGGACATGGTGTCGTCTATGTACCCACACATGTATCTGAGTTTCCTATCAATACAATTATAGCATGGGTAATAAACGATTATCATGAACAAGGAAATATAATAATAACTAATTTATTATTGCCTCTAGGGCATATTCCCAACAATATTATCTTTCGAGTGAAAGATTCTAACATCCGAGTGGAAAAGGCAAGTTGGAAGATCCGAGTGAAACACTCTAATATCCAAGTGGATGAGCTCGAATCCGAGTGAAACTGAACATGTGCCCAAAAATTTATTAAGATGACCTCGGATGGAGGAGTATTCAGTACGGAAGTTGTGCGTATCGTCAACATGGTAAACTTTGGTTTTGGAGTCATCATCATTGGAGATAGTATATGGCCTGCAGATTCACTACGAGACTCGGATAATCCAGTCTGCTGCCAGACCGAGTCCGACTGGAAGGTAAAGATGACCTCAAAAAGTATTCAAGATGACCTTATTTGAAAAAGTGATCAAAATGAGAGTTGTTCATCTCGTCGAGGCGCACAAGTTTGATATTTGGACCGTCTTGATCGGAGGTCATATGCAAGCTCGACGGCCTGCGCAAGGAGGAAGAAGAAGTTGGGCCAGATTCAGACTGAATCCGAGTTGGAATAGAACTAGGACTCTAGAACGTGAATTGATGTAATATTTTGTAAGGAAAGCCTAGATGAATCCTTTACTTGTACGGGAAGTCCAGCCGCCTCTTATATATGTTGGGGGTGACGGCCGATTAAACAACACCAATCGAACCAATCAATCTATTACACTTTTGTGTTCATCTATCTTTATCCCCTACCCTTGTATCTTTCTTTCTCGTTCTTCGCGTTGGAGGGCAGCGATCCACGAGGCTCTAGGGGCGAGCGAATCGACCTAGGGCAGCCCATAGCCGCCGCACTCCCTGACGGGGTCCCTCCCAGGCGTATGGGGTTTCGGGTCTTCAAAAGCGCCCGTCGACTGTCTTGCGTATCGCGCTGTCGGTCGGGTCTCCTTCGACGTGAGCTGCGGTGCATCACCCTCGGCGTCGAGAGTACACGTGACGTGTTCGGGTGTCAACAGGCACCAACTCTTTCACCGCACCTACTCTATTTTTTCTTCTTGCTTTTTGTATTTGAATCTCTTAAACTGAAAGTCCAAATTAAATTTTGCTTGCATTTTCGTGTTTTCTGTGGAAGGGCTTTGAAATGAGACCCACTTTAAATATGTTTTAAAAACTTCATCAAGTTTCAGCTACTAAAACTTGAACTTAATACTAGAAGCGAACAATAAAATCATCAAGCTTCAGAAATTCAAAACTTAAAATGCTAGAAATCCAACGAGTTTAATCATTAAGTTTGAAAGATTCAAACTTAAAACATATGGAGAATCCCACGATTTAGCGGATCGCAAAGATTGTCTGCTTCCACACCAGCGCGCCTTGTAGATGTTTGGTTCACGGCCCCTAATTAAACAACGAAGACCCCCTCTTAATTTATTCATCGCACGGAATGGAAATGGAATCACAGCTGCCACCACTGAAGACCAGGGTTGACACATTGACACACACACATCACGAGTACGCAACACGCACCCACACTGACTGACCCAACCAACTACCACCAACCACACACACACGGAACACTTTATTCCACGAAGAAAGAAACAAATATCCAGACGTACGCATTGTAGGCCACCCAAATCGCTCCATGATTTATTTGTTCCTTCCCTCCGGACGGCCGGCCGGCTGTCGCCTGCATGGCCGCCCGCCCGCCCGCGCGCCCTACTCGATGCCGTACTTCTTCTTGAGCAGGCCGATGAAGTCGTACACCTTGTCCGGCGAGTAGAGGCTCTTGGCGACGCTCTCCCGCTCGCCGCAGCGCTTGGCCCACGCGGCGATCTTGGGCGCCACCTCCGCCAGGCTGAACTCGCCGTACCTCTCGTAGCTGTGGAACCACGCGGTGAAGGGCGCGAAGGCGGCGTCCACTAACCCGAACTTGTCGCCGCCGAAGAAGGGCTTGTCCCCGAGCGCGCCGTCGAGGGTCTTGAGGATCTCCAGCATCTCGGCGCGCGCCTGCGCCTGCGGCTCGCCCTTGAGCTTCCAGAGCCGGGAGCCGCAGTCGTAGACCTTCTTGTCGACGTAGTCGGCCCAGAAGCGGGCCTGCGCGCGCGCGTAGGGGTCGGAGGGGAGGAGGGCCGGGGCGTCCGGGAAGGCGTCCTCGAGGTACTGGAGGATGATGAGGGACTCGTTGACGGGGCGGCCGTCGTGGAGGAGCACCGGGATCTTCTTGTGCACCGGGTTGGAGCGGAGGAGGCGGTCGCTCTTGCCGGCCATCAGGTCCTCCTCCACGTACTCGTAGGGCAGGCCCTTCTCGGCCAGCGCGATGCGGACGCGCTGCCCGAACGGGCTCACCCAGAAGTCCAGCAGCACCAGCCCCTTCTCGCCCGCCATTGCTCTTGGTTGCTTTGGATCTCGATTGGTTTGTGTTTGTGCTGTGTTGTGTACGCTGTGTGGGTGATGAGTGAGGATGAAGATGGGGTGAGAGGATTTATAGGGGAGAGGGGAGGGTGGGATCGTGTGTGGAACAGTCTAGTAGTAGTAGTACGTTTTGACTGGAACTTGTGAGAGAAGATCGAATCGAACGGGTGGTGTACGTACCGGCTGGAGGATTCTGGGCCTTCGTTCGCTCGCCCGGTGTGTCACCGCTTGCGTCACGTACGGTGCGCGCGGGAAGCGAGGGATTCCCGGCACGAGGGCATGGGACGGCATGGCACGTCTGTGTGAGTGGGATGAGTGGCTGGCTGGCTGGGAGGCCACACCAGGGACTGCGGGCACGTCGGCGGAGAAGATCGGTGATCCAGGGAATGGGGAAAAGATGTGATATGGGGTGACGACATCAAAAGGAGCTGCTAGCCTGGTATCGCAGATTCGCAGGATTGCAATTAATTTTGCGGGGAAAGTAGTTATTTTTGGTTTGATGCCAAGATTCGGCATTGCGAGTCGAAAGTTACCCAAAATTACCAAATTGTTGAGAGATGGGTGAGAACTATAGTTGGTAGCCAACTGATTTTTTAGACCTGTCAACAATTAACATGTCGATTTTTGGCCCCAAATCAATTACTATCTGGTTTATTAGTTCTCTTTGTAGATTGGGTCAAATTTTGACCTTTGATTTAACTTTAGAAAAAATAGGTTATATACCCTAAAATAGTTTTTCATATACGAATCCAACAATATAAGCTTTGTGACATACTTCGTCTGATTTTTTTTTCTTTGCGCATAAGCACCAGCCTGCATACCAAGACATGGACTAGCTGCATGCTTTGTGAACGGAGATGCCCCTGCACACATGAACGGGAGAAAGCAGCAGCTATAAATGCCCCATGCCTCTCCGCCCCTGTCCACCTTCTCTCTGTATGGCTGTCTCTCTGAGACAACCTGCATGCCGTGGCGCTGGCCTATGAGGCGAAGTGGAGGTGGGAGGGTATTTCTGGAAAGAATATGCTAAATATTTAAACGCGCAAACTATTGTGGATATTTTGCCAAAAAGTTATACACATAGTAAATGGGATCGGAGGGAGTACAACTTATCACTAGTGGAAATAGTGCTAGCCACAACTTACGTTGGTGGCGCGCCATTTGCAACCAACACCATCACTAGTTTTCTCAAATAGTGGTGGCGTTGGCTTATTTGGTACGACATTAGTAGGGTCATAGTGGTGGCGTGGAAAAACAGGACAGCGTCAGAAGTATATGGGATCAACAGTTTGTACTGGGCGTAATATAGTGTTGTCGTGGAATAGCAAGGAACCCCAACACTATTATATTTAGTTGTGGTGTGCAGTTGGTCCCGACGCCGGTATTGTTATTTTGTCAATGCCACCATTCTTATATTTTTTATAGTACATTATAGTATACTTTTATTAAATTTCTATTATTTTTAAATGGACATAATGACATTTTTTAAATAGGTAGTTTGAGACTTTAAATTTACTCTTTTCTTTTCTTTTTAGTTTAAGACTTGAAATATATAGTTTTGAGCCTTCAAATATGTGGCTTGGCACTTCCATTTTTTTTTAGTTTTTTATGCGGTGATCTCTTTTAGTATATTATAGTTTACTTTTATTAAATTTCTATTATTTTTAAATGAATAATGACATATTTTAAAATATGTAGTTTGAGACTTTAAATTTACTTTTTTTCCTTTTTAGTTTAAGACTTGAAATATATAGTTTTGAGCCTTCAAATATGTGGTTTGACACTTCTAGTTTTTTCTTTTTATTTTTTTATGTGTTGACATTTTTATAGTATATTATAGTTTACTTTTATTAAATTTATATTATTTTAAAATGGAAATAATTGCATTTTTAAAAAATATGTAGTTTGAGACTTTAAATTTACTTTTTTTTTATTTTTAGTTTAAGACTTGAAATATATAGTTTTGAGCCTTCAGATATGTGATATGACACTTCCATTTTCTTTTTAGTTTTTTATGTGGTGATCTTTTTTATAGCATCGGGTCAAGCCCAAGTATTAGGAATCCGTGGGGGGGTCAAAACCAGGGCAACGACACCCTCAACCCACTCCATCTCTCTCGTTCCCCTTCCTCTCCCGCTCTCTCCGCTTGTCGTCGCCGACCACTCTCTTCCTCTCTCGCCGCCCCCTTCCTTTCTCGCAAGTGGTTAGGTAATCTTCCGCTCTCTCCCCTTCTCTCCCTCTCTCGCCGCTCGTTGCCCTCTGATTTGATTGGAGTTCATTTCATCTTGAGCTAGGGTTTCTTCGACGGCGGCGCCGGAAGCGACGGACTGCTAGGGTTTATCGCCTCCATCTTCGTCCCTCGGTGAATTCATCGCCTCTATATTCAAAGTGGCAGTGGCATTTTGTAGTGGCAATTTTTAAAATTGTAGTGTTAAATTGTAGTGTTCCTAGTGTAGTGTTCCTAATGCTAAATTGTAGGGTCTTTGGTATTTGTAGCATATACAATTTCTTTGCTTGTTTATCACTTTCATGTGGTAGTGGCATTTTGTATCTGCATTTTGCATCAATGAATGTATGACAGTGGCAGTGGCAGTTGCATTTTGTATCTGCATTTTGCATCAATGGCAGTGGCCTAATGCTAAATATGTGTCTTGTTCATTATATGACAGTGGCAGTGGCATTTTGTATCTGCATTTGCATCAATGAACAAATGTCAGTGGTAGTGGCATTTTAATTTGTATCTGCATTTTGTATCTGCATTTGCATCAATGAACAAATGTCAGTGGCAGTGGCATTTTTATTTGTATCTGCATTTTGCATC